AATTCATATTTTTTATTAAATAAATTAAAAATATTATTATATTTATGTGTTAAAATATTTAATTATAATTAATAATTTAAACTTAATTTATTAATATTTATAATTTAAATTATAATATTATAATATTATAATATATTTACATATTTTTATTATGTAATAAAAAAAATATTTTTAATTATAATTTTAATATATATATATATATATATATATATATATTTTTTTTTTTAAATAGATTACTCTGTTTCATCGTCCTTTTAATACGTTCAGATTAGACAGAACGAATTAAAACACCTTACTTCGTCGGATTGATATATTAGACATCACAAGTTAAAACTAACTGATAGACTATAGTTACCAATTTATACCTATATCTTTCTTTCAGTGAAGTGACAGTTAATAAGTTGGTTTTATCATATACTTATACAATGTAATTATGTTTTTATTTCTTAAGTATATCTTAAGTATAAAAAATAAATGTGGTTTTATTGAATCAATGTATTATTATTTTTAAAATTTTGAAAAATATGTTTTTATTTTTAGTTATAAATTTGAGATATTAAAATAAGATTTCCAAAACTGTTTATATTTCATAAAAATTACAAAAAAAAATTTAAATTTAAATATTTAATATATATATATATATATATATATTTTTTTTTTTTAATTTGGAAACCAAAGGATTAAAGATGATTAAACAAAGAAAAATCCGCTATCAATTAGGATTAAGTTCATCGAAAGGGAACCCAATTTAAATTATTTAAATAAAGTTTTTAATTTAAATTTTGTGGATAAAAAGTATTTGATTATGTTTTAGGATTTTAAGATTAGAGTTATCTAATTATAATCTTTATTCATATCTAAAAAATATAGTTCTAGTTTGTAAATATTAAATTTGAAATAATTAATGTAAGTTTATAAAATAATTTTAGGCAGTATAAAAAGTAAAATCATATTTTTAAAAATTAGTAAATATATTTTGATTTAAATAACATAATAAAAGAATCCAACATCCTTATTTGATGCAAATAATGAAAAGTAATCTAGTGACTTTTTTTCACCATTCATATCTAAGATGGGTTAAGTTGTAGATATCATGGGTTAAGTTGTGTGGAGGAGACGAGTTACTGTAAGAATCTTGAAAAAGTATAATTTTGACTAAAATAATATGATTTTAAGTGTATATTTTTTTTAAGTACGAATTTTAAATAATTTATATTGAACTCTTATCTAAATAAGAAGAGTTATATTTTTTTTTGAAAATTAAGATTTTTTTAAATATATTATTTCTATTATTATTATTATTAATTATATTATTATTATGAATCATATCATTATTTCAAATATATTATTACTATTATTATTATTAATCATATTATTATTAATATTGTTCCCTGTTTTTTTCTATTTTGCATATTTCTATTGATATTGTTATTATTAATATGTATTCTGTTAGTATTAAATTTGTCTATTTTTTTATTTTTTTCATATTAATATTATTATTATTATTACTATTATTATTATTATTATTATTATTATTATTATTTCTTTTTTATTTTTTTAATGTTATTTTGCATTTTTTTCTGTTAGTCGAATTTTACATATTAGCTATGACGCATTTCGTAGCTATTTCACTTGGTATGTTTTGTTACATAATAGCTATGAAATAGACCGTTATTAGATAGAGATGTATTCTCTCAAATTTGTAGTAAATTTTGTCGTCAATTTGTCACTAAGTCTCTCGTCAATTTAAGTGATGAAATTTTATTATTAATATTGTTAATATTATTATTAATATTTATTCTGTTAGTATTAATTTTTTTTGTCTTTTTTTTATATTACTATTATTATTATTATTTAATAAATAATATATTAAAAAAATTTAAAAAATCTTATTTTTCAAAAAAAAAACTTATCTTAAATAGCACATTTTTTTAAATTACAATTAAAATTCTACTAGAGAAAATTATACTTTCGACACCATTTTATCATGATAATTAGCTTCATCTCACACAATATAACCTATTTTAGTAAAATTTACCATTTTCAACTTCTTTTACATAATCAACATTTTTTTTTACCGTGTTTGATAAAAAAAAAAACCGTAATCTGGTTGTAGCGTATGCGTGTTTCTCTCTCAAAACAAGTAGGACAAATTTTCACGTCTTCGTGTTCCACGTGGAATATGTCCGTCGACAATTCTTATCCATTAAGATATTATCAAAGCATTTTTTTTTAAAGGATATTATAGTTTTAAAAAATACCAATACACTATATTCATAATTTGTAAATTGATGTTAATTTGAATATTAAGAAACGTGAAGAGGGAATTTTGTTTTTGTTTTATTGGAATAGATCCTCAAGTGATTATAGGAAGTGTTTGATTCCTATTTATATTCAAAAGTTTTAAATTTGAAAAATTGTAAATTCGACAATAAATGTAACTGAAAAAAACGTTTTTATTGGATAGATTGTTGAAGACTGGTATTTATATTTACCACTCGATCGTCCTATCTTGACAATTTATCAAATATCTATTTTTTAACAAGAATAATAAAAAATTAAGGCATTTTACTAGGTTGATTTTTCTATGAATTTTTCCTTAGAATTAAATAAAAATCCAAAAATATTGCTTCTTAGTTTGGAATAAGAATTGAGTTGTTAAATTAAAATTCGCATAAAAATAAAGATGAATGCTTTACTTATTATTTTATGTACAACTCACACATTAGTGTAGTGTTAGTACGTAGATAATTAAATAAAATAACACAGAGAAATATACACGTAAAATATAATAAAATTGAAAAGTTTAATTTTTATATAAATTAAAAAATTTAGAGATATCAAGTTTTATGGATTTTTGAATAAAATATAACAATACTTTTTTGAAATAACTAGTTTTTAGAAATTATTTTTCCAAATTTGCAGGTTATTATTTTTAGAAGCTAACGTCTTTTGTATTGCAATGTAGTCAAAACAACATGGTTGGTTGACACGTGCAAAATCCTTTTCCGACAATTATCTGGACACGTGGACAAATATAAACCGAGCAACGAAGATGTCCGACACTTTAAAATACCAAAATAATTATTTCTATAAATAATTTCAATGTTGACTATTTTGATTTTAGTTACAATAATAATATTATTATTATTATAATTATTATTATGATTATTATTATTCATCGCTATTCTATGAAATCAAATTAATGAATAATAACACACATACACGAATATCCAGAATCTAAACCACATGTTCATCAAACTTTACTCTTCACAAATTAATAGTCTTGACTCTGTGGGATCGTAATATCCACTACCCACCAACTATGAATAGTATACATAGATTTTAAATTTGATTAAAAATAGTTTCGAATTTGAATTAGTCACAATTTTTTTTCTATTTTTCTGTTAAACTAATTCTAATTCGTTTTCAATGGGCTAGATAAGATTAAGTTAATTAAGTTATAGATTTTTTAAATAAATTTTATTTTGTATTTAATTGATAAAGTAATCAAATAAATTAAATAATAATTATATTATTATTACTATTATTTAATAATTTTCGTCAAATTAAATTTGATTAAATCTTAAATTTAAGATATAAAATTAATAGCCTGATTTGAGTGAAATCGAATTATATTATTCTGGTTTAACTATAAAGAAACTTAATCTAATTTATTTAAGATAAGATTATATAGTCACATGATCTAATCCAATAAATATCACCTATAAAACTATTCATTTATTAAAACATCAGCAACTCATTAATTATATGGAGACTCATTAAGAATAATTTTTTTAATAAAATTTGTCCAATAATAAAAGTATTTTTAAATGTTCTCTAAAAACAATTCTTAGAAGGTATCATTTAAGATGATATTTAACATTTACAAGTAGAGAATAAATTTTAAAAGATAGAGATTTTCAATATATTAATATTTTTGAAAGGTTTACATTTATTTTTCCAAAAAGAAAAAAAAACAAATAAATTGATATTCCTACTGAGTTTGAAAATTCACTTAGTCAAAAGATTCAAATATCCAGTGCCGACATATCTTATGAAAATAAAATCTACACTGCCGACACGTTATTCATAAATTGAGAAATTGAATATAAAACTTTAAATAAAAAATAAATATATTTATTTATGAAAGTATATTATATTTATATTTATATTAATATTAATATAAATTTTATTTTGTATTAAAAAGTTATTAACAGTATAGCTTTTAAAATATTTGTCATAAAAATTAATAAACATATTATATATTGTTTTAATCAAATTAGGAAATGAATAAACAGAAACTCAATTCTCAACTTCAAATATTGTGAATGTAAAAATACTTATTTTTTTTTCATATTTATAGGTCAATAATGCAAGTTGTCTCACTAAATAGTCAGAATAAAAAAAGCGCGAAAGCAAAGAAAGAAAATCAAATTTTATTCCATTAAATTATATAAAATTTCTTAGAAGTTAATTTAACTAAGAAAAGTTTAGTGAATTGTTTAGTCTTAGAGATATTTAAAATAGGTTATATTTTTTTTTAAAGAAAAATAAAAGGAACTATTTTTATTTTAAGAACCTAAACAACTTTCTTTAATATGAAGAACTTTATATTTATGATTTTATATTAAAATATTGTTTTTATTGATAAAAAATTTGTGTGAACACTTCTTATTAGAGTTTTTTTTTATGGTATATATATTTGAACTTGAATTTTTATATTAAAAATATTTATTTTGATCCCAAAAATATTTTAATAATACGGAAATAATTAACATATATTATTTTTAAATATGTAAATTAGAAAATTAAATTTATTCTATCGTCGTTTTTTTTTTTCAAAAAATTTTCATTCCATAGGATGAAGTTGGTCAATTTGAAGTGATTGAGTTATTTTCTTCTTTTACAGAAAATTTATTTAAATACTAAAAGAAATAACATATCTGATAAGAAATACCGGAGAATTATAAATTGTTGTCTTTTTTTGGTATCAGATAATGCCTTTGTTGTTCATATTTTGCAACTTGCGGAAAAGCGGTTCCTTTTATGTGTTAGCTTCTGTTCCTCTGTTGTTACTACATTCTGCTACCCTTCGCTCTCTTGGCCGCGTTACTTCTATTCTACGGCACCGTTTCATTGTTTCTTAATCAATTCAAGAAAATTGTAATGGATCAATCCCCCTGGACCCCTTGATTGGGACATACTCGAGCAAACTTTACCGTCTTCACTTTCTCTATCCATTTTTTTAATCTTGAAATTCTTCTTAACTTTGACACAAATTCCTGTTCTTCCATTTAGTTATCACAACAGTAGCGTATCTCCTTCTGGATTTGAATATTCAATTATTTATACCCTGTTGGGAAGTGGGGCTGGGCACGGATTCTGTTTTTTAATACACCAGATTTGGGGTTCCTTCATGGGCATGCATTTCGCGTTTCATCAGGTTCAGGGTTGGATTTGGATCAATGGGTATCTATAAAGTCTGGAACTTTGGTCCTAACAGTGGTTATTTCAATTAAGCGGTGGTTTTGCAGTTTTTGGCTCTTTTTTTTTTGTTGTTAACGTTTTCTGGGTTTGAAGAATGGATATAACGGAAGTTTCAATTTTGCACCATGTGGGGATGGTGCTAGTTGCGATATGGATTCTCTCTGCATTCAATTGGTGCCACTCGGTTGTTTATTTTGTAGCTTTGATCTATCTTTTTCTGGTGAGGGTTGGATATATTTTATTTGCTATGTCTACCTCTGCGTTTTATCTTTGCTTCTGCCTTTTTGTTTTATTAGTTGATGATGTGGATAAGAAGAATATTAAAAATGGGGGGCCTGGTAAAGGAATCGTTATGTGGGTTTAGTTGTGTTTGTCTAAAGGGTAGAGAAAAAAATGTGGAATATTATTATGTTTCTTACTTTGATTTTTTGTTTTTCTTTGGAAAAGGTTCATGAGCGTTATGTTACGAGGCTGCGGAAGAAGTTGCAGTATGAGGAGAGGAAGCAAGCTTATCAAAGAAGGGTAATTATGCTGGCTTAAGCGTGGTTATTTTGATTTTGTGGATACTGTAGTTCGAGGGTAAAGTAGTAACTTAATTTGTTTGAAAAGTAAATGAAACGAACAGTGGTCAATGAAGAAAATAAACTGTATCTGAATAAATTTTTCTTTGAAGTTAAACCATTTCCTTAAGCTGAGGCAGAAGCTGACCCTGAGAGAAGAGATGAAGTTAAAATTCACATACATGTTACCCCTCATCCGCGTTTTGAATGGATTAGTAAATCATTACTTATCGATAAGGTTCTCCTGGATGATATTCCAAGATTCTTTCCGTTTTTGTTTAGTGTGTGTGTCTTTGAAAAAAAATGCTTTCATGTTTTGGTCCTACCATGTGTATATCCAGCCTAGTGACTCACAGACACATTCCACCGACAGAAATTGACTGCAACTTACTCGAAAGGTTTTGCATTTGATGATGAAAATGAAATTACATGACTTAATTAAACGAGGAAACAACTAAAACTATGGGAAAAAAATACAATATCCTTTGTAGTACAAATATACACACACATATATGCATATATATCAATTGTAAATTAATATTCAGTTTTATTTTGTAATTGCAAATTTAAATTTGACATGGAGTTCTGACTGCAAGGATTGTGCTATAATGATTTACCGATATAACCACACAATGTCCTTTATTCTACTTCAGGTGCTTTCAGATTCTGAAACAGTCCGGTGGTTGAACCATGCAGTTGAAAACATATGGCCCATATGTATGGAGCAGATTGCCTCCCAGAAGATATTATTCCCTATCATACCATGGTTCTTGGAGAAGTACAAACCTTGGACTGCTGTATGATTCAAACTTTTCAGTTGTTTGTCTTTGATTGAGCTCTATCAAACAATATGAATCTCAACCATTTTCTTGAAATTTATTTGTTATGAATTTCATATTATCTATGTGACTTGAGTTATTTTTATGTTTGTGAAAATATAAAATTGTTACTTTGACTTTTGGGGTGATCAGATATTGATCTGTGTTCTACATTTGCAGAAGGAAGCTGTTTTTCAGCACCTATACCTGGGAAGAAACCCACCTATGTTTACTGAGATTAGGGTTCTTCGCCAGAGTGAGGATGACCACTTGGTATTGTGATATTTAAAGCAGCATATCTAGAGAATGTCTTGTTGTGCATCTGTGAATTAAATTTTGTTTGGTTTGATTTAGATACCGTTTGATTCATGTAGGTTCTGGAGTTAGGTATGAATTTTCTTACGGCTGATGATATGAGTGCTATACTTGCTGTCAAACTAAGAAAAAGATTTGGGTTTGGAATGTGGGCAAAACTGCACATTACAGGAATGCATGTGGAAGGGAAGGTATGACAATGAAATTTTGGTTTTAGTGACATATGTGCTGATTATTAAAATTCTTTTTTCTGTTATTTACTTAATACAAGTTCATGGATACAAGCTTGGATTCAGGGACGTTCAAGTGCCAAGACATTAGGGAAATTCCTAATAACATGTAGTTTGATTCTTAGAAATGATCTTTTGTATTGAAGAAGAGTTGATAATGGATTATTGAGTGAGGAAGAAGTGGTGTTGCACTTTGTTAGTTAACATTAAAAGTATTTCTATTTAAAGAGAAGAAATAACAGGATGATGGAGAAAGGTACATTTTTTATTTGAGAAAATGGTTTTTGTATTCTTTTTTTTTATGTAATTATTAAAATGGCACTTCTATTTTCACCTTTTGCTGTATTCAAAGATTTATCCTGTTCAAATATATGTAAATGGAAAACAAAGTAAAAGCAGTTTTTTTTGTAATTATTTGTGAATAGAAAAAAGTGAAAACTGAAAATGTTTGTAAATAAGAAACAAATTGGAAACTGATTTTTCCTTTTTTTAAATTTTTTACATTTTTTGTGAATACAAAAAAAGGAAGGAATCTGAGAGTGTTTTTGAAACAAAGTATGCCCCAAGTTTTTGTTATAAATATTCCACCATCATTCTTAACTCTGACTATAAAGGGTATAATTATAGTTATTTTCTCTCCTATATTGTTCTAAGTTAGTTTAACCTTTATTATACCTTAGTGATCAGTATTGATGAAAGCTAATTTCATATAACTAAGTGCACATTTTATAATGTCTTCTCCCGTAGTTAGGAGATAGAAGGAAGCAAAATAGATTTATAAATTATTATGGCTATTGGTATTATTATTAATTATTGATAATATTATATTATTGGTCTATTCTGTCTGTAGATCTTAGTTGGGGTAAAGTTTCTCCCAACATGGCCTTTTCTTGGCCGTTTACGCATATGCTTTGTTGAGCCTCCATATTTTCAAATGACTGTCAAACCTATGTTTACTCATGGGCTTGATGTGACTGAACTTCCAGGCATTGCTGGGTGGCTGGTAAGTATGCTTCTATATTTGGCAAAATCTGCCTACATATTTACTTGCTCATGCTGTAAATAATGTGCTATTTTAATGCTTTCTTTATCAGGATAAGTTGCTGTCTATTGCTTTTGAACAGACGCTTGTTGAGGTGAAGTTTGTCTTTATGTGATCAGTTGTTCCCACCTTGTTACTTTTGTCTTTTTGCATATTCTTATCTATTGGCTTCTTGGGGTATTGAAATGGTGTGATAAAAATATTTAGAAATCTTTGCATCTTGTAGTTGTTTCTGCTGTTAGAAAACTGTTGTAGCTTTTTAATTATTTCTCTATATTTACATGTTTGGAATTTTTGCAGCCCAATATGCTGGTTGTTGATGTCGAGAAATTTGTTTCACCAGAACCAGGTAAATATGAATCTTTTTCATAGACTTTTGCAATGACCAATTTACTTGGTATTGGTCTCCGTGGTGATTGAGAAAATTAGGTATTGTGCTCATCAACATATCATGAACATGTAGGCTACCTGTTTCTGGCAATCCATTGTTCATAAAAAGTATAACATGTCAAGTTTACTAGTCTGTGTTGTCAATCGTTTAATTGTACTACCCATTCAAGACATATGGATTCAGTTCTTTAAGTAGACATGGGTTTAACTTTTTATGTTAACATTTGAGTTGTGGAAATACTCTTGGATTTATTAATAGTGGGTTTCAATTGTGGAAATAAACTTATGGTTTTCATAAAACAAAGTCATTGACCTTGACTCGTAACATATCTTTTGTGAAGAAAGAACATTTCCATTGCCCTCTCTGGAACCCCTATTGTACAAATCTTTTAGTTTAACTCAGGACGGCACATGTAATCATTGACATATTTGTTTTGTATTATTCTATACTCATCCATTTGTGAATATTAATGTTGTAGAGTGTTGGTTCTCTGTGGATGAGAAGGAGCCTGTTGCTTATGCAAAAATAGAAGTTATTGAAGCCTCTAACATGAAGCCATCAGATCTAAATGGTTATCCCTTACCTGTGATTCTTATGATCTTCGTTTTTTAAAATTTTTATTTGTGCATAACAAATTATAGTATGTTTCAGGATTAGCGGATCCTTATGTGAAAGGTCATATGGGTGTATACAGATTTAGGACAAAGATACAAAGGAAAACGCTCACTCCAAAATGGCATGAGGAATTTAAAATTCCCATCATATCCTGGGAGTCTGACAATGTGCTGGTTATTGCTGTTCGTGACAAGGACCATTTCTATGATGATATCCTTGGGTTTGTTCTATTTTATATACTTAGTATTTTGTAAAGTATATATATATATATGCGTGTGCGTACACAATTAATTGGTACACAATTAATTGGTATAAAAAGGAGAAAATATTTATTAAAAGGGAAAACATTCATTGTATTGATAACACAATAAACACTTAATATTTGTTTTCGTCAAGTAAATGAAATCACTTGGCTGATACTGTATTAAGTTTTTTTGACCTGAGAATCAACTTCATCTTGAATTGTCTTTTGCAGTATTATTATGATTTAATCTTGTTATCATGAAGCACATGCCTGTAACAATCATGTATCTTATTATCACTGTGTCCCTGACTAATTTTTGTCCATCTTTTATAGATTGATTTACGAAGTTGTAATACTGAATCTTGGAAGTTTCAATTTTGCATGTCTGATAACATTCTCTTATTTGATCTCTTTTCTACTGCTTTGTTTGATCAAATGTATTTCCATCCTTTATTCATTGAATGTTTCCCATGATTTCCTGCCACTTAATCTGTCACTGGTGTATTCATCCAAATAATCGAACGTTGTACTATTTTCAGGGACTGTTCTGTAAACATCAACGAGTTTAAGGATGGGCAAAGACACGATATGTGGCTGGAACTTGAGAACATGAAAATGGGGAGGCTGCGGTTGGCAATAACTATTCTTGAAGGAAATAAGGTAATTTCCCTCTCAAATATATTTATACTTGTCAATATTTAATAATGTGAAGCATTCTGATAATACAAAAGAAATGAAAAACAATAGCATGTGGGGCAATGAGTTGCTCCTATGTTTTTTACCTTTGGTTGGTGTTTGTCTCTTTGATTTCAATTTGAATTTTATCTGTACAGGGAGTTGATACTGCATTTTACCAGGAAACAATGGACTTTGATGTACAAAAAAGCTCATTTGAATCAAATGAGACTTCTGATAATAGTTCCTTCTCATCTGTTCCACCTGGAAAATCTCAGAAGTTGGCAGATAACTACGAGCCTATAAACATCGAAGGGCAAAAGGAACCAGGAGTTTGGGTTCATCACCCAGGAAGTGAAGTTTCCCAAAGGTGGAAGCCTAGGAAAGGGAAGAGTCGGCGCCTTGATACTGAAATTCATGGAGAACCTAATGATTTAGTTGGCGGTGGTAGTTCAACCGTATCTCGATCCTTGAACAATGACAGCAGCGGTTCTGATAATAATAGTCCCGATGAAAAACATCGACTAAGATCGGTTAGGAAGGGCCTGCACAAGATTGGTTCAGTATTCCACAGGAGTAAAAAGGAGGAGTCTGTTGCAGAGGACATTCCATCTCCACATGATAACATTAGGTCAATGGATTCCAAGGGAATGATTGGTGTGCAGTTTGTCATGGATGAGAACATTGCTGACTTGTCAACTGTTAAGTTTCAGGTAGAAGGGAGATCACCTGAAGGGAGTGGTCCTGAGAGCCCTGCCAAGGGACATGTCAAGGATATGGCAAGGAATATTTTGAAACATGCAGAAAAATCAGCTCGAGGCTTGAAACACGTTCTTTCTGGTAGATCTAAGAAATCTAGAGATGAGTCTCTAGCAGTTCCAGAAAGAGTTAATGAATCTGATTCTTCAGATGACGAATCTACCGCAGTTCAGTCTCCCACAGATGAAAGAACTCAAGTTGGTTCCCAGACTTTGGCCCCAGGAAGCAATGCCTCCCCAAATTCTAGGGTGCATGTGGTTCAGACAGTTAATGTAAAAGATGACCCTGGAAAGGCATACTCCCCTGAAAGGTCCAGTAATGAGTTTGTTAAATCTGATGAATTTGAGCGTGTTAAAGAGGAAGTTGTGGGCAGATAAAAAAAAGATTTTGCCTCTTTGTCCCTCTGAAGAATTATTCTCAACGAGCATACTTACTCCACCATTTCATACCCGAGTTGTATGCCTTTGGAGTGTCTGTACAATGCTGGGCAGATTTTGATTGCAGTAAGTAGTTCTGGTTTTCGTTTTACCTTCGTTACTTAAACAAGTTCGTGTTTCAGGTGCTGCAGTTTGTAAGCAACCAAACATGTAAATAGCTTTACATATTCAAGGAAAACAAATTAAATAAAAGATTTACATTCAGATTTTGTCCTCCTATTGCATCAATAGAACTGATAGCTTATCGATAAATATTTAAATGTAGTGTCTCGCTAAGAAAACATGCAATAGTCAAGATGGCCACCCTGTCAAAGACAGACTAAATAACAAATTGGACTAAATCTTATGAGATGCCAGCGTGTTGTATCACTGGGCTGAATCTTTGTGTGCTTGATGCCTGTTGTAGCAAAAGTATAGAGTAATAAAAGAACTATAATATGGTGGCAACTGATTTGTGTTAAATTGATTCATCTGATTTGACTTCTGTCTAAAAAGATGTATTTATACACAGGCACACGTAACACACTATAATATGGTGGCAACTGTCAACAACTATAGTACGACTAATGGCATGTAACAACATCCAAAGCAAAATTACAAAGAGAGAAAATAAAACTTCAAACGAGTTATACATTTGGATCCCTCCTCAAACTCAAGTGAGAAACCATGTGGACCTCAACCACATTGAGTTTGGATCAAAGAAGTTGAAACCGAGCTGATGAAAGAGACTTCGAATGTATTGCGGAAGAAGTAAAAGATGATAAAACGGATTATATCGTCAGCCGAATATTTAAATATTAAAATAAAAAAATATTATATTTTTTATATTATATTATTAAAAAATATAAATATATTATAATATTATAATTTAAATCATAAAAATTAATTAATTAAATTTAAATTATTAATTATAATTAGTTATTTTGACATATAAATATAATATCTTTTTATTTAATATAGTAATAAATAAAAATTTAAAAATTATTTATATAATTAAAGATATATTTAATATATATATATAAACATTTTTATATAAAAAATTATTGGTCCACTGGCCTACTAGTGTGCCAGCCCGTCATTTGGTAGGATGGTTGGGATCTATAATCCGTCCTATCTCGTTTTTTAAGGGTTAGAGGCGAAATCATGATTCATTTTGCCATTCCTAAGAAGTTGCTTGGTTATAATTTTTTCTCTAGTCAAATAATAGATCTATTTCATGTGTTTGGTTCTAACATAAAGAATTGGATTGTGATCAGGATGAACTACACTAAAATTTTCATAAAGAATTATAGGAAAATGATATGAGATGTCTTTTTAGTAAGTTCGAACTCTACAAAATATCAGAAGTAGCGACAATTAAGCTTTTATACTCAGTTTCGATGTTTGATCTAATAACTAATGTTTGTTTCTTGTACTATCATGAAATCAAATTAGGAGGACAGATCAGAAGCCTAATCAACATCACGAAAAGTTATGATTTATAGAGAAGTACGTATGGAAACAACTGGAGAGAGACTTTAATTAAGACATGGTGAATCACTAATAAGAACTTCTAAATAGATTGTCTGAAACTCTAATTAAGTACCTTACTTCATTTTCTAATTTTTAGAATTAAAGTTATTTATTTTCATTTTATTCTCTTTGTTCATATTTTCTATGCTTCAAGATATGTTTATTATTATTGATGCTTTAGTAGAATTCTCAAAGGAAGGCTAAGTTGGTGAGTCTATCCACATCCAATCTAATTTAAGTTTTATTTACAATTGAGAAATCCAATTTTGTTCTTCCTTCTCTAATCTAATTAGATGTATGAATTCATGGTTGTGACTTCAATTTTTGAGTGATATTTTGATCTGTATCATGATTTAGTTCAATTACACTCTTGGATTGAATCGTGATGAGAATTTTTAAGGTTATTATGTATGTATATTTATGATGTATAAAATATATATCATAGGGGTATATCTCTATCTTTCACTCATGTACTCATATACTCTCTCTATATGAAAAAATATGACAAAATCTCAAATATTAGCAATATCTCAATCATAACTACATAAATTAAAATAATAACCTATTTTTATTTCTCTTATTCTAAATAATAATAAAAATATCTTAATATCTAATTTAAATAAAAATAATAATAAAGCAATATTCCAACATTCTTCTTTGTTTTAAAATCTATTTATTTGAATTTGATATTCTTTCTTTCTATTCTTGTTTTCATCCTCCTCTTTTGCTTGTAGTTCTTATAATTTGTTTTCTTGTATGTTGTCATAATTTTATTCAACTTTATTACTTCATTGTCATATTTTTCCTTTACAATTACTTGCAAACAAACTTCTTTTTTTCCAGCATGATATTAGGTCTCTCCACGTTTTTTCTCCACTTGTTAAGGTAGTTATCACTTCTCATAACCGTCTTAAATTTCTACAGGTTGTGGAAAAATCCACAACCCACCTATGGAACTCTCTAACTTCAACTGTGCATTTTGGACCACAAATCCACAGGTTGTTGAAAAATCCACAATCAACCTGTTGAGCTTTCTGATCTCGATCTTTGCATTCTGGTATCAAATCCACAGGTTGTGGAACTTTTCACAAGGTACCCGTGGAACTTGCTGATCTGAAATCTTTCCATCTTGACACCAACTCCCTCCAAACTATGAATTCAAACCTCCAAACACCTATTTTCAAGAACAATGCACAAACCAACATGTATGATCCAAAACAACGATAATGTATGATGAAGTTGTTCCCATAATGCAACAACATATGAAATTAACCTAAATTAATGCATGAATGCAATGACATTTTATCCACTCATCAAATTCTCCCAAGCTTAGACTTTTGCTTGTCTTCAAGCAAAGAGAATTTAATATAAGCAGGACGATAATGCAAACAAAATGATGGGTGTTTTTTTTTATTGTGAATACATCGTCTTGTCTCAAATCCAAATTCAATCAATGATATTCCAAAAGTATATATTCCACAATTGTTGGGTCCCTAAGTGAGTTGAGGAAAGGATGTAAGGCACATGACATCAAGGAAGACAATATTTGAGCTTTAATTTCTCTTTACAAAAACTTTTTCTTAGGTTCTGGCCTAGAAGATAATTACATGCCAACTAACACATGGATCTTCCACCCAAATGCTTTGCACTTGTCACACCCGGTCTCAAAGGAGTGCCTCTTTCCCAAATAACTCACATAGTCTCAAAGGGGTGTCATTTCACTTATTATGTTGTTAGTATTTTTTTTATATTATTGTGAAACTAACAGACATTTTTCCAGTAACTAAATGCAATGAGTGTCACCGTAGAAACCTAAAAAAAAAATTAAAAACTTTCATATCCTTTTTACTCTATCACTCAAAAATTTTCTTCCTTAAATGTCATAGTGTTCAAACTTCCTGTGCAGTGTGTGAAGTTTCCCAACAAATAATCATGAACAGATAACCACGATATGTTTCACAAAATATCACTGAAAAAACTTAAGACTTGAGTTAAGATAATGAATTCCCAATTCAATGTGTATGCTATGCAAATGTAACAAACAGAATGACATGAAATTGACCCTCCCAAACTTAAATGTTTATGTTGTCCCCAACATAAGCAAAATAACTAAGACGAGAAGGGATAGAACTCACAAAATTATGAGTGGTTGGAGCGGAGGAACTCCAGCACCTCTTGAAGCAATTGTTCCATGCATTGTTGATGAAGAAGTTAAGAATCCTGAAACTGCATGAATTCGGTGTAATGGCATTGGTGTTGAGTGCAGAGATCAACAAGTGATTGAGTGATGCGAGCAACCACTTCAACATGAGAATCAAGGGGAACAGAAGGAAGTGTCAAGGGTGGATTAGGGCGAGAGTGAGGTATTGTGGAAATTCAAATATGAAAATGTCCACCTCGCTAGACCACGCACAATAGTAAATTCTGGGTTAGGAAGTGGCAGTGGTGACATGCCCTCGATATAATTCATTACTAAACAATAGTGACCATCTCGTTTGACAAACATCTCGTTGTTTATCAGCATCTCTAGATCAATTCGAGATGTCCCTACTATTGCCTTAGCATCTTCCAAAGGAATTGAGATGTAATGTGATTGTAATTATCAATCCACCAATTGCTATTTGTCTTGATGAAGCTTTTCCTACCTTAGTGAATTGACGTGCTAACCATGAACCTCTGTTTTTGCTCGTCGTTCTAAAATATAATGCCATGGATATTATCATCGGAGGAAAAAGAAGAATGCGACCGTTTTCCAGTCGAAGTCCCCAATATCGGAGATGGTTCCGCATGAACAGAGACCAGAGTTGCTCGCGGTCGGGATGGCTTGGGGTTTGCATTGCTGGTGCTGATGTGGACTGTACGGCGGCCTGAGCAGCGCGTCTTTGCTCGAGTTGACATGGTGAAGTGACGAAGTGGAAGTGGAGAAGATGCAGGGGACGGAGTACACTGGTGAAAATGTAGAACATGGTGATGGAGCTTGGAATAGAGTGGATGTGCCGCACCAAGGAGAAAGAAAGAACCCCCAACGTGTCTTAGGGTTCTATTCTCCAAAAATAACTTTTTTTAAATGATTGTTACATGATCATGTTAATGCAACACATGCCTTATATTTTTCAGACTCACCACCAACATAATCCTTCAATCTTTGACCATTTTCTCTAAAACTTCTTTCTAAATTGAGAGCTGAAATTTCAACTGTACTAAATGAGAATACTTGCTTAATAACAAAGTTCACGTGACAACAGAAAAAACAAACAAGATAATGAAAAACAGAAAAAACAAAATAAATAGAAAAAAAAAACATTTTTGACTACCTAAACACTAACACTCAAATCTTAAGCTAATTAAATCACTAATATCAATAGAAAAATCAATCCCCGGCAACGGCGCCAAAAACTTGATAAACGTTTGGCAAGTGCACCAATCGT